ATTAACCCAAAAAAAAAAATGTAAAAGGGAAATGGTTGAAATGCAAATGAGAATGGAGAAAAAAAAAAAGTTTTCTATGATCATATATTGTACTATAAAGTAAAACCTAAATTAAAAAAAGTTGGAACAAAAGAAGAGCTATAGTGAAATGTGAGGATTTTTTATTTTTTTTTTAAATAGGTCCCCGGGAATTCATTGACAAACTTGAGATTTGAAAGCCATGTTGTGTTGAAGTTAGTTATTAAGCTTCCTTTTTAATGTGATAGAAGAAACACAATAATAATATTCTTCATGAAGGATAAAATGTACATCTACAATTTATCTCATCAATTATCATATGAAACAAATTCATCCCAAAACAAAAGGAAGAGATATAGAACAACCTTATAATGCATCTAATCTCTACAATCCCATCTTGTTGAATGAGATAAAAACAATCTTATAACACTGGAACTTCTAATTCATATAGACCCTATCACTTTATTTTTATTTGGTAAGAGATATAGAAATATAAAGATATAGATGAAAATAAAGAGGATGAGAGAGAATGAAAGTTGGGGAGAAAGAGATATAAAAGGAATAAGAATGGAGAGAGAGAAGAGATTAATATCAATTACAACTCTAAATTACATTGCTTGGAATGAAAATATAGAAACAGAAAAAATAATTAAGAAAAATCTATATATATAATTTTGAGCAAAATTAAGAAAAATAATTACTAGAATACTATAACTTCCCATCACCACCTATTAATAATTTTCCTGTGTTGGGAAGCTATCAAAACAATTATCAGAAATTTGTAGCAAAACATTAACTAGTTGAAATGTTACCTAACTAACTATCCTCGATCCATTAGTAGCAAAACATTAATGATTATCATTAATCAACAATAATACCCAACCAAAAACAAGCCAAAATATTAATGACAGCAATAAAAACATAAATGACAAATAGTCTTTTCACAGAACAACAGCTCACTTAACCAGAAACTAATTTTTCACAGCAATAGTCTTTCACCAGAAACTAATCAAACATCTCACAGCAGTAGTCTTTTCACAGCAATAGTCTTTAAACCAGCAATAGTCTTTTCACAGCAAGTCTTTAACCAGGAACTAATTTTTTAACCAGAAAAACCATCTCACAGCAATAGTCTTTTCACAGAAAAACATCTCACTTGACAAATAGCAATTACTTCCAAAGCAATCTATCTTTGGTAGAAAAATTGGGAGGATTATCCAAGTCAAGAACAACATACGATTCTGCAAGGCCAAGGTTCCCCAACACACCCTTCCAGTATGAACCATTCACATCCCAACCTTTAAAATCCACTGTATAATTAAATTAAAGTCACCAGAAGGAGTATGGAGTAACTCACCGGAAGCCGAGAACGGAACATGAATTTCACGAACACGCAATAACAGAGAACCCTGATGATGATAATGTTTCACGGTGCAATCAAAATCCAGACATTTCTTAAATTCACTTAATGTCATCACCGAATCTCTGGGGATAGCATCCAGCTTGGGCATAACCGAATCATTAAGTTGTTTACAACCTTGGAAATAAAGAAGTCGATAAGAAGAAATTCTGTCACCGTGCTTGTAGAACTGAATGAACCAGTAAGAAAAATTCCGATCACTTACGCGAAGAAAAACATTCGGCCAGAAACCTTTCAAATAAGACATGTCCACACCACCATTAATTAACTCATGTTCAAACAGTTTCAATTCATCCTTATCCACCACGATCTTCACTTTACCATCCTTATCAACCTCCACTTTCAATTTACCCTCAACATCTTCAAGGCCATCATCAAGGGTATCAAATTCATGCCTCAAATTGTGCACAAAGAAACCAGCCTTAACCTCAATTCTTTTTTTTCCAACGAGGGTTTTTCCTTCTCTGCTCCTGCGTGCTATTGCTTTCGTTGCTTTCGTTTCTTCTACTCTGAATTTTCGGACTCTTTGTTCTCTGATTAACTCTAAGCTTTCAATTTCGAAAGTGTTGGATAAGCTTCTTCCATGTGAAAAGTCTGTTTTAGTCGTGGCATGTTTACTAAAACAGACTTTTCCTTTTCACAAGGAAGAAGCTTATCCAACACTTTCGAAATTGAAAGCTTAGAGTTAATCAGAGAACAAAGAGTCCGAAAATTCAGAGTAGAAGAAACGAAAGCAACGAAAGCAATAGCACGCAGGAGCAGAGAATGCTTATGAAAAGCCAGTAGGGATGAAGAAGATTTCACCATGCCAGTAGCAGAAGCGAAGGACAAGCGTGGAGAATCAGGCGACGGCGAGGGGGATGTGGATGAACGTGCAACAAAGTGAGAAGAACACCCAAAAACAAAAACATCTCCAGAAAAGAATGCAGCGATGTATGCGAACGAGATGCATCCTTGAAAGACTGTCCAAAAACCGAAGGAGAATGCGGAGACTGTCCAAAAACCGACGGAGAAGGCGGAAAAGCCGGCGCACGAGAGGCATTCGTGATAAAAATAGAAGATTTTCTTAGGCCATTAGTTGGAAGCGATGGCAGACAGACCTAGAAAACGAAACATTCTCTAAAAAATGGTGAGGTTGGGGTAAAATGACGAAAGAAGTATGTTCACGAGATATAGGTCTGCCATCGCGAACTAATGGCCTCTCATGCGCCGGCTTTTCCGCCTTCTCCGTCGGTTTTTGGACATAAAATCTGGCAGTTCCTAATTTCAAACTACATATTTTTTTAGTCTTATATGTCAAATGGAGGTTGGGCATAACTCAGTTTGATTCTGGAATCTGGACGACCATATTTTGATCATATTTTCGAAATTCATTCTGCATCTAATAAAAGATTATTGTAAGCATGCTCAAACGTATTACTACATATGAAGACGCCAATAATTGAGATGAAAATATCAATATTAACTCAATAAAACTATATTCGGAAATAACACACTGCAATTCGACCCTGAATAGAGAAAATTATAAAGAAAACATAGATCTACCACTGTGAGCTCACACATATGTAGCAAATAACAACAAAATCGAACGAAAACACAAAATTCAGAGTCTTTTATTAAATGTTATATAATAATAAAATACAAAAAATTAAAAAATAGGGTATATCATAGTTACCTTTCCCTCCGATGTTAAAATGGATTGCTGAAACCAAGATCTTCGATTATCCGTTGTGATCGAAGTAACCATAAACAAAGCTTTCAACATTGAATCGGCTTTTATGGGTAAAATTAGAAAAAAGTACCGAAAAAGGAAATCGATGCGATTGATATTTACAAAATAAGAAATTCCAGTGCTTATTTCAGACATAAACAGACGGTAATTCTGAAAAATTTTCGATGATATTGATTAAAGAAATTTTCAGACAATTATCACGAGAGAGAAAGAGGCGGTGCGGCGTGAAACTGGGGCAGATGAAATGAAAGCCTAATCGGGTTTTCTTTCCTTTTATGCCCTTTTTCTAATAATATTAGCCATTCGATTTTGTTGACTTCACTATAGCCATCCGATGCACGCCCACAAAACGAAAAGCACAGAAGAAACGTGAAAGTGGAATAGATGGGTCAGTCAGCCCAGAATAATGCACATAGTTTGATTGCTCAATTTTTAAATTGAGCTAAAAAAATAAATTACGTTGGCTAGATGAATTTTATTTTGGGACTATTAAATAAAAAAATGGTTTCAGCCCATTAGATTAAAATGGTTTAGGCCATTATATTAAGTTGCAAAAATGGTTTCAGCCCATTTGTGTTATAATCTATATTAATAAATTTTTTATAACGATTGATTAATTATTATAACTTTTTATATTTAATTATTATAATTATTACACGTAAATATGTATTTTAATTTTGGGCTGAATTTGTGTGTAATGGGTTTAAAATGATATTTGGCCAATAAATCTCATTTATTTGATTATTATTTACATTAATAGATTTTAAAGCCTAATTGTTGATATATTGTTCTTAACCCAATATAAAAAATTACATTAAATTATTAGTTGTTTTATATAAGTAAAACAAAATTGCCCATAATTGTTTTTTTGTCACCTTTAATTAGAGATGGCCACGGGCCGACCCGGCCCGTGGACTCGGACTGAAACTGGTCCCGACCGGCACGAACCGGCTCTGAACCGGCCACATAAGGGTCAGTTCGTCTAACCGGACCGCGAGGACCGCAGTTCGGTCCCGGTTGGCCTATTATTTCTTTTTGTCCTGGCGGTCCGGTCCGGACCGGTCCGGGTCGCGGGTTGGGGGCTGGGCCACAGTCATTTTTTTATTTTTTTTTATTTTTTTCATTTGACCTGCGGGCCGGAGAACCGGCGGGACCGGGCCGGTCCGATGACCCGGCCCTAAGCAATCTGCGGTTCGGTCTCGGGCCAAGCTTTTGTAGACCGTCGGCCCGTCGGGCCGGGCCCGGACCCGGACCCGTTGAATGGCCATGTCTACCTTTAATTAATTTGTTTTTTGTTTTATACATTTATATTTAATATTTAATTTATTTTATATTATATGATTTTTTTTCATTTACTGATGTTTTTTTGTATCCTTAATATTCCATTCTATTTCTACAGGATATTGAACACCTTCTCCTGTTAACTGGATCTTCTTTTATTCCGACTGAACACAACAATAATTCCGACAATGTTTCATATCAATGGCGAAGTGTGTTGAATACTTCTCAAAGTCTACCATTATCAAACATCACCAATGGTAATTTTTCAAAATTATATTTTTATTTAAATTTATTTATTTATTTACATGCACATACATAATATATATAATTAAAATATTATCATGTAGCACCTATCAATCAAGTATCACTTACAACTCTTAAAAGAGACCGTGGTCAACCTAAAAACATTTTAGTACGTCCGCACAAACTGGTATGTTCTTATTTAAATATTGGATTTATCACTTACTGCATTATATATCAGTATGTTTTTTTTTAATTATTTATTTATTAATTATTTATCGGCACTACAAAAACTACTATTTCAAGTGAGATATTCAATCTTTATCTCATGTTGGCTTATTCTTGAAGAAATCAGATTTTAGTCATGGTCAGTTATATGTCGCTGTCTTCCGTGTTACTAATAGAAAGGGTCTTAAAATTTTAATTTGTGGAGAAGAAAGTTTGAAAGCAAATCAAACCAATAATGTTGTGTATAGAGAAATTTTTAATAATATATGATTTTTTTTTTTTGTTTTTTACTTTGTATTTGTCTCTCTTTTTTTTTTCTATTACAATCAAACTATTTATTTATAAACAAAAATATTAAATAAAGTTTAGAAAAAAAGGTTTGAGGAAGTAACCCCACCGTACTGCGCACCGGTACTACATTATATTTCCGAAAACGTATACAGTCCGTGCATCGCACGGGGTTACGTACTAGTTTTTCTCAATATAAGGAGAGAGATAATATTTCTCAATATGTTGGATCAAAGAATTTATTATAATTCCATTTTTTAGTCAATTTCATAGTTGACATAAATTTTCATTGACAATAAGTCTCTAACATAACGATTATTATAGTAGCATGCGACGTAATGATAGATTTATACAAAGATACAACAGATAAATAAGACATTATAATATGAGAAAAAAAGAAAAAAAAGTACTTAATAAATAACTTCATTTACTAATTTTGTTAAAATTACACAATTTATATTTATTTTATATATTATAAAAAATTATGTAATAAAAATTAAAATTCCAAGTGGGGCCTAGATAAGCTATGGATCCGCCCCTGCTTTTGACATATAAAAAAAAATAAAAGTAACAAAATTAAATATTCTGTATATAAAATTTATAGATCAAAATATTAATAATATTGTATCTCATGATAAATATTTTATATATAAATATATACACGTAGTTTTTATTTTTTAAATAAAAATATTTAAAAAATAAAAAAACAATATAGATCGAGTCAACCGAGTTGACTTTGCCGGGTTAATGACCTGGTCGACCAGGTCAAGGCCGGGTTGACTAAATTTTGACCGAGTCCATTGTTACCTCGTCCGAATAGCTCACCCAGACCGGTTCCGGCTCCAGGTTGATCGTGTCCCCGGTCGACCCGTCGGGCCAGTCCGAGTTGAAAAAATATGATCTTTATTTTAAATAATTTAAGTTTAGATTGCCATAAATACACATATTTAATATATTTAAACTATTTCATATAAATTTATTTATTATCTTATTTCTATAATTGACATATCATCTCACTTTTTAAATTATTTGTTTTGTTTATATTATACTTTTATGTGTTAAATAAAATTTTTATAAAAAAATAGTCAATATTTATATAAAAATGTTTATTTTTTTAAAATATTAATTGTTTCCCACCAAAAAAATCATCAGCTTATAAGAGTAATCGAGCTCAAATATGGCTCGAACCGAGGTTATGAGCGACACATTTATTTAGAGCTTGCTTAGATACAATTTTTTCTAAATAAATCCAATCATTTTTAACTCAATCATTTTTTTTAACTCAATTTTAACTCAACTCCACTATCATCAATTAAATAATATCAACCAATCATTATTACACATCACATCAACTTTAATTCACTATTCATCCACTCACATAATTTTAATTAACCATCACTTCAAATCGTTTCTCTATACTTTATATCAAATCAAATTTAATTATTTAATTTTAAATATTACTTTAATATATCCACTAACAATTAAACATGCAACATTTTTTTTAAAATTAACCAAATCAAACCAAAAAATCTAAATAAATTTGAAAAATCCAAGCATCGTCTTAACGATTCTAATGTATCTGGTTAAATTTGCATTTTTTAATTATAATAATTTCACTAAATAAACAGAGGCAAAGGTAAAAAGAGTTTTCGATGGATAATATAATAGTTGTTCGCCAGAGATAAAACAATGTATGTAGATTAAATTATAATTATAATTTACTACTATGTCACTGTCAGACTAACGATTGTTCGCTGGGTGTTGCTAAATACCGCACCCTTTTTGCTAAATACCGCACCCCAATTTACATTTTTGCCCTTTTTATATAAAAAAAAAAAAA